GTATTAGGGGTGGGGATTATTTTTCGATGCATCCCAATGCGGAGGTGGACGAGTCTTCATCGATGAGACATGAGAGACAGAATATAATCGATTGTTTTCCACCATGTTTATTTGTTTGTCATAACTATAACCAGCGCTGCCTCCGGATCAGCACACTTGTAATTATAGACCAAAATACTTTACAGAGCTCAAATCATGAGGCTGGTGAAGATGTCAGTCACACTGATGAAAAATAAATCAGGTGTAGAAATAATACTGTTTTTGAATGGTAGCTCTCTGCCTCCAGGTTCACACCCCTAATGTGCATTTGTGTCACTGCCAGTATTGTCCCGGTCCACATCATCTGAACGCGATGCTTGTGTGTGTTCTCAGCTGGCACCCCTGAGGCTGAGAGCTCTCCTAAGGATGGTCTAGGAATGGGCACCCTGGGGGGCCCTGCAGAGAAGAACCGGAAGCTGCAGAAGAAGTAGGTGTCTTCCTGACAATGTCTCTGGCCTCTGCTGTCCCCACAAATAAACTAGACTGAGAATCAAAGTCGAAAGAGAACGCTCTAATTTACAGGACGTCTAATGTTCATAATGTAAAATGTCCCGAGCCGTCTCACACGCTCACCCCCCTGCTCACGCTCACTCCTATCAGCTCATCGTCCTTCCGTCCCACACCCACGTATTTCAAATGCACTCGTCTCCACAGAGATGGGCTCGTTTTCTTTGACACGTTGCCAACACCGTGAATATTGTTTTGCTTCCTAAATTAGCTTCAATTCATTCTTTCTTTTTTTTATCACCCCCCTCTCATTCCACGTGTAGTCCAAAGACAGGGTAAGTTGGTTCATGTTGCTTTTACTTTGCCTTTTCTTCTTCCCACACTTGGCTTCACATTGACCTCACCTTTAACCGAGGACCCCAAACGACTGTCCCTCTGAATGTCTGATGGCTTTTCCGTGCTGCTCTTTACCCTGCTATCCACAGAGGAGCTTAACTAACAGGAATGTGCGTGTGCTGATTTTTAGTGAGTGACAAAACTTTCCTCTCGCAGTTTTCCTATCGCAGCATGAAGTTATGCACTGCAACTACAGGAAAGATGGTGAATGGCAGAATTCAACCAGACAGTTATTGAAAACAGTAACAACACACCTGAACAGAATCACCGTGTTCTTGTTGGTGTCCTCAGAATTAAAGCAACAACAAGAACATTATTTCTATGGCAGATCTGTGCTGTGCCACACAGCACCATCTAGTGGCCAAGTACAGTTCTTACAGCTGCGTTCCAAACACCGCCTGGATTGTCCAGTCATGTTATTGTTTCTATATTTCAACCTGAGAATGTGCATGAACTGGATGAGCAACATTCTGAAGCTAATGTGAAGGTTTCTCTGTCCTCAATACTTCCCTGTGTGCATGTTATGTTCTTACGGTTGTAGCGGAATGCATTCATACTACATGTTGCTGTAAGTGGACTCTCAAAGCACTGGTTCTGGGAGAAAACTTCACCAATGATCATAATGAAGTTCCTCAGTGATGAAGCTCTGGCTGTGACCTCAGGTCCTCAACAAAAAGACCCACGTGGTCGAACCTGGAGAGTCGAGGCTTGAAAAGCAGGAGGAGGAGTTTTCAACAAACGTGTTTGGTCTTAATACGTCGGTGTGCAAAGCAACATTATGCAACTTTTTTTCACATGAAATCAGCGGCTCGGTTAAAGTCTGATGTTTCAGTCACAATCAGCTCCAGACAGTTGAAGAGTGAAGCTGAACTGAGATCAGTTAGAAACACCGAGAAGTTATAAACAACCAGAGTTTATCTCCGACGTTCAGCAGGAAACTTTTAAACCATGAAGAACTCTGAACAGAGTTTGGTGGATTTGTTACAGCAGCAGCTCAGGAAGCAGAGGATCATGGGTAATACCCAGTGGGACGACACAGTCAGAGCTCAACACGTTGATTCACACAAACCGTGTAACTGCAGGGGGCGCTGTTGCTCAGTGAAAGTTACATAGTGTTGCTTTCCAATGACACGTTTCTGACAGAGGTTTTCCAGACGAATGCTTCTGTTTGAATCTTCCTGGGTTTCGGTTTCTTCGTTTTCTCTCAAACTCCTGCTCTTCTGTTCTGAGTCTGCATGTCGGTCGACATCTCTCTTGTGTTCATGTGCATTTTAAAAGGTGAATTTGATCGAGTGCATTGTGGGAGTTTTTAACAGGTTTCATAAGTTCCGTGGAAAGTGAGCTCTGCTCCTGTATCGTCTTAAATACATGTTTTGTGTCTCAGGCATGAATTACTGGAGGAGGCTCGCATGCAGGGCCTGCCGTTCGCCCAGTGGGACGGACCGACTGTCGTGGTTTGGCTCGAGGTACGACACCGACACAGCTGATCTGAAAGCTGCTCTCTTTGCTACATGTCAATTAACCCATCGCTCCGTCTCTGACCAGCTGTGGGTGGGAATGCCGGCCTGGTACGTGGCTGCGTGCCGCGCCAACGTGAAGAGCGGAGCCATAATGTCAGCGCTGTCGGACACGGAGATCCAGCGGGAGATTGGAATCAGCAACCCGCTACATCGTCTGAAACTCCGCCTGGCCATCCAGGAAATCATGTCTCTCACCAGCCCCTCTGCCCCGCCCACGTCACGAACGGTACTGATCTGTCGGCTCGATTTGATGACGACATCGCACACAGTCGCACACTTTGATCTTTAAAGTCTTTTATCTCGTTAACATTTTAACTTCTTGTAAACTTAACATTTACTAACGATGGGATCGAGCTAGCTTGGATTTTAGCTTCACTCTTGCTAACAGTGGTAACAATAAATGAACAAGCACTTGTTGATTTTTCTCCTCATCCCATTCTCTGCCTGTCCTCCGTCACTCCTCCCTCTTTGCACTCTTCTCTCACCTGTGATTGGGGCGGGGGTGTCACATGATCAGACCACAGGAAATGTTTGGGTCACTCACGAAGAAATGGAAACTTTGGCAGCCACACCTCCCACGGTTAGTCCGTCCTGATTGGCCGTACACCGGTGGCTTCTCACATCTGTGGTGACCGTGGAGCTTTGTTCTGAGTTGCCTTCAGGACGTCCAGACCTCATTCGTCACACGCACGTGTTGACGTCGACACGTCATCGTGGTCGATCGCTCAACGTTTATCTCAAACACCTCATCAGGCGTTCTCTGGAGACTCACAGGGCAACTTGGAACAAGGCCTCGTTCTTTCTGCTAGTCAGAGATTTCTGTCCCTGTCTCATCCTTTAGACTTTACACTGTGTGTGTGTGTTTTTACATGAGCTAGTGTGTGTGTGTGTGTGTGTGTGTGTGTGGTAGAGTAGTTGTGTAGTCGGGTGGCGTACAGCTGCTGCTCGGATTAACGGTTCTTTTGTTTGTTTGTGTGTTTGACAGAACCGAGAATCTAAATCTAACATGTCTTGTTCTGAACTCGAGATTTTCTGATACCTGGACTTTGTTAATCGATAGCGATACTGAAAACCAATCTGATACCAGCGCATTTAAAAAAACAACTTTCTACATCTACATTCTCCTAACCTGTGTGAAGTGTTCACAAATACAGAGACGTGATAACATGGAGCTTTTTTTATTACTCTCAGGATCTCAAATAAATAAATCAAGAAATACACAACAGTTACTCCTCCAGTCGATGTCTTGCAGACACGTGCTTTTACTTGTGGGACTTTCCAGCGTTAAATAATTAAATAGCGGTTAGCTCCGTCTCTTGCTGCTAAAATACTTTAAAGATGTGGTATCGGGTCGGTACGCAGAGCGTGTTGGGCAGTATCGGAGGAATTTCCAATGCTGGTGTCAGAACATCTCTATTCTGAACAAGAACCATAAATAAAGATGGATGACCCGTCTCCACCTCCTTCCACTGTACAAACATGAAGCCGAAGTTTTTATTTTTAGCAGCTGTCATGTCGTCCATCTTTATTTCTGTGGTTGTGGATAGTAGACGAGCATGAACGACCCCCCCCCTCTCTCTGTTAGGTTTGGGCGATATGATGAGATTGAGTTTATACGTTTTAATATCCGTCTGCCATCGTGGACAGTTTCTCTGTGAGAAGATCCAGAGAGAACCAACTGTACCATCACACTAATGATGAGTGAAGGAGGATTTCATCCATATCGCTCACACCGACAGTGTCAATGTATTTATTTGATGACTTGTATCTTCCACATGAAGCTGCTCTATCCCAGCACGGCCGCCTCACTAACCCCGCCTGTCTTTTCTTCTCACCATGCTCACTCTAACCACGTTAACACCAGGACGATGACGAGGGCAGCTGGGCCCAGGTTTGCACACGTTCCCCTGAAAACCCCCTCACCTACGCTCACCTTCTTCTTCTATTGTTCTTAACTCGAACAGTTTCCCCTCCGCCATGTTTCACTAATGCTGTTTTCATGGATTCACACTAAATACTAAAACTACAGACACACGTGACATAATGGACCTGTGTTGTTTATGGATTTGTTCATTAGTAGTTAGAACGTGATCTGAATGAACAGAGAACTTGGACGATACTTCTTTACTTACAAACTTTCTGTCTTAATAATCTGGATTTGACGTCTTTTAAAGACCCTCTCACAAACACTGGTCAAGCCTGCTCCTCTCTCACTTTAGACGTTGGCGTACGGTGAAATGAACCACGAGTGGATCGGTAACGAGTGGCTGCCGAGCCTCGGCCTCCCCCAGTATCGTTCCTACTTCATGGAGTCCCTGGTGGACGCCCGCATGCTCGACCACCTCACAAAGAAGGACCTCAGGGGACAGCTCAAGATGGTGGACAGCTTCCACAGGTACTGGAAAGTCAACTCTTATCAGCACGTTTCATGTGTTGCAGCCTGAAGCGTCTTGTTCTTCTGTCGAACTTGTTTTGTGGCTTCAAACCTGTTGGACTTGTTTAGTTGTGAATGTACATCGGTGTAAACCAGAGACGAAGATAATCTGGATCTAGATGAACAGTGAAGATGTGTGTGTGTGTGTGTGTGTGTGTGTGTGTGTGTGTGTGTGTGTGTGCAATAGGAACAGTTTTCAGTGCGGAGTGATGTGTCTGAGGAGGCTCAACTACGACAGGAAGGAGCTGGAGAGGAGGCGAGACGAGTGTCAGCTGGAGCTCACAGGTAGAAAACGTCACGGTGACGCTTTCGGATTCAGTAACGCTCGTTGCACGTACGTCGGACTTGTGTGACGCTGCCGTGTTGTTTCAGACGTGCTGGTGTGGAGCAACGAGCGTCTGATCGGCTGGGTTCAGGCCATCGGACTGAAAGAGTACAGCAGTAACCTGTACGAGAGCGGAGTCCACGGGGCGCTGCTCGCTCTGGACGAGACCTTCGATCACAACACCCTGGCCCTGCTGCTGCAGATCCCCACGCAGAACACACAGGTACACGCACACGCACACACACACACACACACACACACACACACACACACACCAGTAACATATCAAACTTCAGTTTTATTCTATTTGGGCAAAAAGAAAATGGATTGTGAGTTGCTGAAAATAAAATAAAAACTAATAATCGTCTTTCCTCTCCAGGCCAGAGCGACTCTTGAGCGTGAATACAACAGTCTGTTGGCCAACGGCACAGACAGGAGAATGGAAGAGGTGACAACACACACACACACACACACACACACACACACACACGCATACGCACAAACCCGAGTGAGAAGCCAAGTTTGAAAATGACTCCCTCTCTTTTCCACACCTCTCTGCCTCCCTCGCTCCCCCACCTCCTCCCTCGCAGGACGACGATAAGAACTTCCGCCGCGCTCCGTCGTGGAGGAAGAAGTTCCGGCCCAAAGACATGAGGGGGATGTCCCTGGGTGCGTCAGACACGCTCCCCGCCAACTTCCGGGTGACCAGCAGCGGTTCCTCATCTCCCTCCACACAACCAAAGAGGAGCCCGATGGACGGTAAGCGGAGGAAGGATGTGCGTGTGCGTGTGCGTGTGTGTGTGCGTGTGCATGTGTGTGTGCACTGCTACTCAGACAGTCTCTGATGAACAGTCTCGCTCTGACGTGTCGCGTCTTGAATGGCTTTGTTGCTCTGCTGTCTGTTTATGATGCTGTGACTAACGGCACGTCTCCGCATGTGATTCTCGCCGACGTGGACGTGCAGGAAGTCAGTCTATACAGAGGCTGGACACTGGCACAGTCAGGACCTACTCTTGTTAACACACAACGGTAAGAACTCACTTTGAAACGCTCGTCTCTTTCCGAACAGAAGCAGCTTTCTTTGTTCCGGAGTTTCTCGGCTCTAATAACGCACGTTTTACGCCTCTCCTCTTTCTTCCCCCTTTGTTTCTCCACCTTTCCTCCATCCATCTTCTCACTCGGCTTCTGTCCTGCTTCCCCCTCTCGTGTCCGTTCATCTCTCTTCTCCCCGTCTCAGTTTATCCTCATTATTTCTATAGGTAACCGCTGGTCAGAGGAGGAGGGGGAGTTCCCTGCGTTCAAGACCAGGATGATGAACTGAATTTGCTTTCAAAGACACTAAAAACATGTTTTGTTGTCGTCACAGAAAAAGACCTTTACTCACCAATCTCCGTGTCCCTAGAGGAAACGTTTTAGATTTATCTACATTTGTTATATTTATGTAAACCGATGGGACATTTAATTGATTTTAGAAATGAGTGTAATCCTTTTATCCTCTTAATCAACCCACTTTTTAAAAGTAAACCTTTCTCCACTGTGCCCATATTAAGCTCCGCTCTCAGATGTATGTGACTGAATGTTTCTACTGTCTGGAGTTTGTATATTTCTACCAACAGACATTTTATCTAATCTTTTTTATAATCCTGATTCTATTGACCAGATGTACGTTTTTTTTTTTTTGTTTCCTCTTTTGATTTGAATTCTAATCATTGAATTTATGCTTAAGTGACTTTGATATGTGATATAACTTAATTCATATCCTTTGCCCTTTTTAACTGTTGTATTTCTTTGTAGCTTATTACCTGTGACTTTGTGTAAATGCAGCTCTTAGGTCAAGGGAAGTGTGAATATCAGACAAACTGCTGGAGTCGTCGGACAGTTTCACAAACTTCTCAACACTGTGAGTCGTCCGTCACCTGTAGAGTAACTGCTGGCACGCCGGGTGATGGCGGCTGCACATATCATGTGAAACACACACACACACAGTATATTTTCCTTTTTCCTCTTCTTTGTTTTTTTTCATATCTGCGAAACCAAAATGAAACTCTTGAATTTAAGAATTAAAGCCATATATCAGCAGCGGGGGTGGGAGGGGGGGAGAAACAGGGCTACCTTCAGATGCAAGTGAAACAGAATTCCAGGTTCTCTCTCGTCGACCTTGCATGAAGAAACTCCTCCACTAAACCCCACCCAGCCCCCCATACACCCCCGTCTGTCCCTTTAAACGAAACGAACCTCCCTCACCTCTGGAGAAACAGTCGGACTCACTCACACATACGACGAGTCCCGAGTGGAAACTCCTTCGATGGACCAACTTCACCGAGGCCTCAGTGGATCCTCGCTGTGACGAGATCACCATCCACCTAGAAACACCCCCTTTTTTTAAATCACGCTCTGTATGAAGATTTCATATCAAGCCTTATTGTTTCTGAACTCATCTGTCGTCTGCTCTTATTTATTACTCGTCACCGTTCAGAGCTAAAGCCCCCGTTTGTTCTCCACGTCTTAGTTTGTCCACCCTCACAACACAGGTTCCGCCGCGAACGAGACGGAACCGAAGAGTTTCCTGTTCCTTCTCACACTTGATGTAGTTCAGGCTTCGAGTAGAGACACTTCTGTTTGTGGTGTAGTCACGTAGGCACAATGCAAATCATATTGCTGTTGTTTTATTCCCGCTCCTCCACCTGTTGAATTTTCTGATCTTGTAACTATGATGTACAGTCTGAGTACTTATAAACTATTTTTATCACAGTATTATTTATTGCTTACTTTCAATAAAATACTGAAACTTATTTTCCACTGCAGATTCAAAGGCTGACGCTTCTCTTTTCAGCATCCGTGTGTTTCACATGTAAATTGTGGGATTAGTCGGCAGCAGCGAACTGGTCTCAGTTTTTCTTGTATGAATGAAATTTGCTGTTAAACAAATACTTGGAATCAATTTCCAATTTAATAAATGTATACATGAGTTTAAATCGGGTGCACAAGAAATTATTATTTCCTTAATAATATGAAAATGAAATGTTCTAAGAATTATTGCTGTGAAAAGTTTGTTTTCTAACAATGACTTCAATGTTTTGTTTCTGATCAACTTAAAAAGTATTTTGTCACAGTTTTATTTATAGATCAGGCTTCAACATTTTTCTGGTTTGAATTTTTCAATGAATAAAAACTGAACGTTTCGTAACTGAAGGCAAAACTGAATCTGTACTTGACACACGTTACTGCAGAGACCCAGAAACTACAACATGAAATACAGATGCACACGTTTAGAAACCTCTTGAAGTCACAGTCTGAGTAAAAAACAGAAAAGAAGAAGTTAGAGACCTCAGGTTTGTTTTATTCC